CTTCTATCCACACTTCCCTATTTCATCTTCTTTTTGTTGCTGTCTTAGTAACTTGGAATTTAACTTCTTCTTTCACTGGTTACTGCAGCCTCAGCTTTAGTATGAAGATGTTGGTTTTACTTATCTCACTCAGAAGCTCACTCTCCTCATTTGACCTCATTCTTTTACTCACCTGTTTACCAGATGTGCGTGACCCAGAGAGCACCTCTGCTTAGGCACACGTCCATGATCACGATCTGGTTATGGTAAAGAGAATGAAAACGAATCTGAATCCACTCCAAAATGGAACAGTTTCTTTCTTGGGTCATAACCCACCCCTCCAAAACATTTTATAGAAATCAGTTTAATAGTTTTTAAGTAATTGTGCTGAAAGCAAGAAAGGCTAACGAAAACATCACCAGCTTGGCAGAGGTAATAACAGGACTGTCACAGTGAATAGATTGCAGTGAATAAGCACCCAAAGGTGACAGGAGCACTAACTTAGAAAATCCAAGCTTTGGTTTTGAAATCTTTTTCTTTTGTGCAAAGCAGAATCCCTAAAACATGCTTCTTTTTCATTTTGAAGAACTTCAGTCAAAGGTAGAATCACAACATGGTTTCTTGTAAGAGAGAAATATTAACACACAGCAGAAGCTTGTCGAACAGGTTGAGGCACGCCGACCTTACAAATGGCACTTCTTAACACATTTAAATTAACCTCATGGTGCACGTCCGGCCGTGTCCAATATGTCTCTATTCCTGTCAGAGTCTGGGGCAGAAAATGGAGGTCAGAGCCAAATACAAAACGATCCTTGGCAGGAAATGTAGCGGCAGGTGCAGAGAGCATTTGTGAACTCAGCTCACCCTGCTTTAAGACCTTGATTATTTGGCTTTTTCATTTTAACTACATGTCTTATAAGATAACAGAGACAGCAGTTTGGCAAGGACAGCGCTGAATGTGCAGATGCGCTCCAATTGTCACGAGTCAAACTGGCTCTTCAGGAATGAGTTTCCACAAACAAAACAGAAATTTGTTTTGAGTGAAGTCTGCCGTGATGCCAGCAGCTGCACATTTGCTGTGTTTGCAGACAAAGGATAAACCTCAAGATTTTCAGTATTAGATGGTTTTGACTGATAATGTAACAATAAACTGCTACATGCAGATTTCCTACAGATACTCAAATAAACCTTGAAGCAACTTACTCTCTTAGTAGCTGCTCTTTTCCAAGGCTGAAATATGACATGCCCAAAAAAAATACAGAACTACAACTACAGTGTCTATACGAATTTACAAAGGTATTAATTCTCAGATATCAGCAGAGGGGGAGGCACGTATCATTATAGATGTTACTGGGTCCAAGGTTATTATAGTTTTGAAATTTTCATTCGTTTTTATTTTTATTTACTTTTTCAGTTTGCTTTTTTTATTTCAGTTTAGTTTTAGTTAGTTCAACAAGTGATTTTTTAGTTTTAGTTTAGTTTTTAATTTGAGGAATTTACTATAGTTTCAGTTTAGTTTTTATTTAGTTTTAGTCTTAGTTTTAGTTTTTCCAGGTATTAAGAGAAAGCCTTGACTTGTAGAAGCTGAAAAAGGATGAAATAATGTGTGACACCAAATATGGTTATCAAGTCCTTTAATTTCATTCTTTAACCATCACCTGCAGGACAGGCAGTAATCGAGGGAGAAAACGAAAAGACAACGAAAAACGAAGCTGAATTTATCTGTGTGGTAGTGGGGGGTGGTCAGTGTCGGTGGCAAGAGGGAGAGAGTGGGCAGGTGGCTCGGGGATTGGTGCCAGGGAGAGAGTCTGATTGTGTACAGGTGTACTGCGTTTGCTAATGACTCCCCCCCCCCTTTCATCAGCAGCAACGTGCTGGGACAAAAGACACGCCACAAGAAGTGAGAGGAATCTGTGAGGAGCACAGCAAAACGCGAATGATATATTCAAGTGTACGTGTGTGGTGGGAAAATAAAAGAACTTAACTGAGCACTGTCTGGCATCATCTGTGACGAGGAACCCGCGGTGGCACGAGCGTGCTACAATCTGCAATTCAGTTTAGTTTTAGTTAGTTTTGCATTCTTCATTGTAGTTTTTATTTAGTTTTCGTTTATTTTTGTAATTGTCTTTTTTATTTTTATTTCAGTTAACTAAATTATTTTTTCATTGCTAGTCTTAGTTTTAGTCTTTTCATTAACTATAATAACCCTGACTGGTTCTGAGTAAATAGTAATATTTCATGTCCGCTTAAAAAAATGACAACATTAGAGTTAATATCCCAACTGTAGTAATGCAGTTGTAGCCCAATACCTCCAGCAATCCAAAGCACAACATCTCATTATATGTGCCAAATTTGGACAAGGTTATACAGAGACTCTAGATCGGCAAGTATTGTGCAAATTGATGTGGCAGAAGCACATTTGTGGCTAAATGTGCTTCAAATACTATATTTTGTCAATCTCTCCTTCACATGCAAATGTGTAGCTATTCTATGGGACTTTTTGGCTGTTTAATATTTTTACATTACTGTCGTACTATAAATTTCACAATGAAATGATGCATGCATTTATGGAAGGTACAATTTGCTCACTTTAGATTTGTGAATATAGACTTACCAACTCTTCTAATGCAGCCATGAGGTGATGTAAGAATTATTCATTCCTAGAGAATCTAGTGAGCTGTAGCAACCTTCCCTGGATTTAAAGAAAACATATTTAGCTTATCCATGGCAAAGGGAGCTCCCTCCCTCCCACTGAAAGCACTGCTCCTGAGACTCCTGAAACACTGTCAGCAGTCTGGCCAATACAGCAGTGCCCTTGTCACATGACACCACGATGGAATACGTTTACATGAGGCCGCCTCGCTGCTAGTATGGCACGCCCCAAACAGCCAGGTGCAGCAAAAACAAAGTCTTTGCCAAGAACAGTTGGTTACATTACCATGTCAAGGAGATACTGTGTGCTTTATCGATGGTTTATTTGATCAGAAATTATTATCAGATCTTTTTTTCTAATATGCAAAATATTATCTCCGTTAGGTAGAAGTTTTGTTGTGGTCATAACATGTTGATCTCAGGAGAAATGTTCTTAAAATAACTGTTACTGGAATTCAAAGCTGTATTATACACTGTCCCATTGTCCCCAAAATTAACACCAAATCTCACATCCTTTCCAGGAACATATATATATATTTGTATATGTGTGTGTGTGTTTGTGTGTGTGTGTGTGTGTGTGTGTGTGACCTTGTGGAAACTTAAAACATACGTCTATAGTTTTTCATACAAATATGCTTCACTGTCACATTGTCTTTTTTAGTTTCAAATTATATTCAGACAAAAAGAAAACACCACACTCACTCACCTAATATCCTCTGATGGACCATGATATAAGAGTATGTTGGACATTTACTCGCGCACATTAAAAACATCCATTAGATTATTGCTGCAGCTCTGACTCGCTCTGCTCCCACCATTTTTAAGATCTTCGGCATCACAGCATAATTAATTTAACCTTTGGCTCTTTCACTCCACAGCCCGATCCCTTCACGATTCTCCACCATCCTCTCTCATGTCTTGTGTCCCTGCCTTTGTCCTTGGCTGCTGTCGCACACATCCAGCTGTCTGCCTCAGCCTTTTAGGACACGCTAACTGATCATCGTGTTGTGCAAAACAGCAACGTATTGGTATTTTTTCCATGTCTGTACCTTTTCTAACCTTCACTTTTCTGTTTTAATCAGCGTCTGTGATTGGCACAAGCTAATTGTGGAAAGATGTTTCATGCTAATTAAGTTGCAATGACAAACACATAACCATAATATATCACTTCCCTGCAGTATCTCCCCATCTTGTGTTTGGCATTTTTAATTCATCATTATTACCTCCACCAATGTTATCAGCCCAGTTTGTTTTTAGGAAGATTTCACAAAACAGATCATTACAAAACTTGGTGGGATGATGCAGTATGGTTCAAGGAATTGGTGCGGATCTGGATTTTCTTTCAACATTTTGATGTCGACTGGTGTTTTTTTTCATCCTGAGATATTTGTATTATTTTCCTTGGAAATGCCATCAACACACCCACTTAAAGGTACTGTGTGTAGAATTTTGTGATATCTAGTGTTGAAGTTGCATGTTGCAGCTGAACACCCCTCACCTCACCCTCTCCTTCCAAACGTGAAAAATAAACTGTGGTAGCTTCAGTTGTCATAAAAACTCAAAAGGTGTTTAGTTTGTCCAGTCTGGACTAATGTAAAAAACATGGCGGCCTCCGTAGAGAGGGTCCCCTCGATGTAAATATAAAGTATTTAAATATAAAGGGTATTTTCTGGGGTAAAGAAAACTACACTTCAAAAAATGTTGATGAAATGAACTAGTGAAAACATCATGAGGATTATTCTACATTAAATTTCTGCCAATAGATCCTTTTCGCCTAAATCTTACACACTGGACCTTTAATGCAGACAATGAATCCTGCAGAGGATCTCCTACTGTTTTCTCGCATCATCTCCATTAGACATTGAGTTGTTACCAGGCTGTCTGGAGAAACTGGGAAAAGTCCGGAGGCTCTCCGGACTTTAGTACATATCTGAAAGCAGCTTCCAAGTCTAGTTCTGTTTTTTTACTCCACAGTCACTAAAGCGTTTGCTTGTTGTGAGTCTCGACTTTTAAAGTGCCTTGATATAATGTATCTTGCGATGCATCCAAATAACAATGAATTGAATTCAGTGCATTTTACGCATATTACCTAAAATCTTTACAACCTAAATCTGAAATGTTCCTATGTCAAATATGACTTTGAAAATCAGCTGTACTCTTGATAAAACGGTGATTATTCATATTTCTGTAGTAATATCTCTCCGGTCAGATCTGTCAAGGATCAATGGGAGGAGGAGGGATCATAAAGAGTGCGTTTGGAGAAAAGGGTGCAAAGTGTGTGTGTGTGGGTGTGTGTGTGTGTTTGGCGCGCACCTCCCCTCTCCATAACGCAACGAGCCTCCTCTCGCTTTACGCAGCCTGCTCACAATTCCTGCTTTTCGTGCCAGAGCCTGCAGCTGTCTCTGTTGCGTCCCTCTCCGCCGCTGCTGTGGGAAACCGTCGCCTCTCTCGTGACGAACCGACGCCAGACTTCACCCTTCGAGAGTCCGAGTAAAAGCCGAAGGACAAATCGCAACTTACAAACAATTTCCAACAGTGTTTGGAGGAGGTGAATGAAGACACCTGACAGCCGCGCGCTGACTGAAATCTTTTCCAACTGTGAAGGCTACAGGAATGTGGAATAAAAATCTGTTTCAGCGGTGAGCAAACAAAATGTGTGTTTGTGTTTGTGTGCGTGTGTGTGTGTGCTGGATTGTCGGTTCAGCACAATGAACTTTGGAGCTTGAACGTCGCCTCCTTATGCGCACCACTGCTCTTGCATGCAAACGCCATTTAAGTCGAAACCAAGCTGCCACACCAATCTGATCTGTTATTCTGTGTTTCTGTTTAAAACATTAGAACACCAAATGCAAGATAATAACATGTATGTGTCCTCATCTGTCCTTCCTCTGCAGTACAACCACCCGCCTCTGCCCCTGACACCATGACCACGGACCTGAACTTAACCTCCTTACTGAATGTCACGGATCTCCACAACCACACCAGAGGATGTTCCCTCACCAAGACCGGCTTCCAGTTCTACTACCTGCCCACGGTTTACATCATGGTCTTCATCACAGGGCTGGTGGGCAACAGCTTGGCCATATGGATGTTTGTGTGCCACATGAGACCCTGGAGCAGCATCTCCGTCTACATGTTCAACCTGGCTCTGGCTGACTTCTGTTACGTCCTCTCTCTGCCCTTCCTCATCTTCTACTACTTCAACAAGACAGACTGGATATTTGGGGATGTCCTGTGTCGCCTGCAGCGCTTCATATTCCATGTGAATCTTTATGGGAGTATTCTGTTTCTGACCTGCATCAGCGTCCACAGGTACACCGGCGTGGTGCACCCTCTCAAGTCTCTGGGTCGACTGAAGAAGAAAAACGCGGTCATCAACAGCATGCTGGTGTGGATGGTGGTCGTTATAGCCATCTCACCCATCCTTTATTACTCCAGGACGGGCTTGAAGCGCAATGCAACCACTTGTTACGACACCACCACAGAGGATGAGCTACCAGGTTATTTCATCTACAGCATGACTTTGACTGTGTTCGGGTTCTGCATCCCTTTCATCATCATATTGTGTTGTTATGGCATGATTGTCAAAGCGCTGATCTGCAATGACATGAACAATGCGCCCCTGCGGCAGAAATCAATCCACCTGGTCATCATCGTGCTCGCGGTCTTCGCCGTCTCCTACATGCCTTTCCACGTGATGAAGAACCTCAACATGAGGGCCAGGCTGTACTTCCAGAGCCCCGACATGTGCGAGTTTAATAACCGCGTCTATGCCACCTACCAGGTGACGCGGGGGCTGGCCAGCTTAAATAGCTGCGTGGATCCTATTCTTTACTTCCTCGCTGGAGACACCTTCAGGAGGAAGCTGTCGCGGGCCACTAAGAAGCCCTCGAGGAAGGGGGACACTGTGCTTCAGTCTAAGAGTGAGGAGACAGCACTCAACAGCCTGGCCGAGTATGTGGAGAATGGGGAGCGGAGGCTGTGATAGGGCAACGCTGAGTGTCTGGCACTGGGTGTGGATCTCTATTAGCTTAAGAGAACCTGATGGACTAAGTATTAAATAAAAAAATGCACTGTCTGGGACTGAAGGCTGAATGTAGAATTTATCTGCCAATGGTTTTTAGAGCTGTAGGAAAAATAGTCCCTTTAACCCTGTGATAACATCACTCGTTTACAGCCTGTTGGTGTTGATAACCTTTAGTACTGTATGGTACCATACATGTATTGTACTCCAAACGTTAGAGCTATTACTCTTCCTTCTTACACTTTGTGTTCACAAAATGAACATTACAATTGGGCAGGAAGTGGGGCCACAGGTTGCCATACAGGGAATAATGCCCCACGCATCAATTTGAGTGAGAAAAGGATAGCACCTTCTCCAGCCACTGAACTGATGCTTAATCAATAGCTATTAAGCAGGTGGGAATTTGTGGTTAAAGAAGTGTACCTTGGATGGCTTATAAAAGTAAATGCACTGAAGGTGATATTGCTGCACGGACGTGCCATGCAGATGTTGTAATGCACTATGACCAGGGACTCTCTGGTCAGAGGATGACCTATCACTCCTCATTTCTTTCTCCATCCATTACTGACTCAGTCAGGATTGTGGTCGACCACTTTTTCATTTTGAAAGCTCTGAGGTTAAGGGTCCCCACTAGCTCTGGTACCACAGTCTCCCTCTCCTTGTTAACATGTTCCCTTCAGAGCAACAAAAGAAAAGCATACAGTATTTTTGTGTATATAATACTATGATGAATGTTTTTGTTTTTTTTGAGGTGTACTTTACAGAATGTCGTGACGTTCCAGACGAGTTTGTGTCGTTAACTGTTTTTTGTTCACGTCACTAAACCCAAACCTTTAGTGCATGAGTTCAGCAAAAAATCCAATCAGTGAAACACTTAACCAACCACGGCAGGTTTTAACTAACTGTTTATTACGGCACAGGGATTATTATCTTAAACACACACACTTACCTGCTATGTGACTCCATCAATATTGAAGATTGTTTTGCATATAAGATACCTCAAAGTAAATACTGCACTGTGTTTGTGTAGATAACCGTTGTTTTGTACCTGTTGTAGTCATTCTGGAGAAATTACTGTGGAGCTTTCACTCTCTATATATATAAATATATATATTTTACCCTGAACTATATAGATGTTTGATGTCTCTACTAATACGTTTGTATATCTGAAATGTGGTCAGCAACTATCACAAGAAAGGAAGTGAAACACCTGTACAGGAAATCTGGGGCCACGTGTATCTATGTCAATAAAAAATTTTATATTTAAAACATGCCCGAGAATGTGATGAGGATAATTCTTCTAAGACTGGTGTGCACTGTTGTGAGTGAACAAACACTGTCGGTTGTAGCAACATTTGAGTTTTGGCCCTTCGGTGGTGCTCCTCCTCTCTCTCGCTTGTGTGTGTGCTGCCGTTAACTTTCTTTTTCAACACTGCCAGGAGGAAGTGAGGGGACGAGGGAGGAATAAAAAGTGGCACCTTTTACTCCTGGCTAATCCTAAGACAGCTTTTGTGTCTGTCACAATGGCGTGGCATTATTGATGCGGACAGGGGGTGCGAGGCTGTCGCCAGGCCCTCTGGGCCACGCTGTGTTGTGGGCGCAGGAAACTGGCTGTCCCTCTTTCTCCAAACACGGCCTGTGAATACAAACAGTTTTTGATTTCCTGGCTTGAATGTGCACAGAGTATAGCTGGCTTTGGCAAGTGTGTGTGTATCTGTGTGTTGAAGAGCCTGAGGGCAAAGGAGACCTTATTCGACGAGGTAACTGCTTTGGCTTGTGTTTGTTGGTCACTGGTTGTCGTTTCATTGTCAAATGCAGCCACTGGGACATGCATATGCAACACGGGCATATTAATGCACATGTTTCTGTTTCTATTTATGGGATATGTACCCTCTGTGCTCTGTGTACATGTGATTGGATTCAGTCAGCGCCATATCTCCAGCCTGTGTCAGTGCTTTTGAGTCTGAGTGTCAAATCTTGACTTGCAGAAAGGTTGGGATTCTTGCCAGTATCTCCTCCCACCCTCCTCAGCCACCTTTCACCTCTTTTCTCTCACATCTCTCTATTCTAAATGTAGAGTTTTAAAAAGCCTTTCTCCCCTCCGTCCAGGGGAATATCTCAATAAGAATTCAGAGGAAAACAAAGGGAAGAGTCGAGGAGTAAAGACAAAGTTTGTTTGTGTCTGTTCAGAGGAGGGGAGGGGGCCTGCAGTTTAATAGCAATCAGGGCAGCTAAGCTAAAATACTGAGCTTTGTTCTCTGAGATTTACAGTTAGGGTGGAACGAGCACATACATCACAGGGGCAACGTCGGCTGAGCCACAAAAATACCACGAACCACACAGAAACCAAACCTAATCAACATGCCGGTGGTGAAAACCCCCTGCTACAAACAGTTGGCACTGATGTGATTAAGTAACAAATTCTACTGCAACAATTGGCACCATGTGACTCCGAATGAAAAAGAATTAAATAAACTCCCATACATTGTATATTAATTCCATAATTGTTGCTGTATAATTCATCGTCTCCTGGTGCAATGCTTCGATGCTGTATTAACATGTGTTTACTTGCTCAGATCAGGCATCAATCTACCACCCAGCCCAGAACCAGAGCACACATGTGGCGTCATTTGGTATTATTTGGTAATATCAGACTGTACTGACATACATTGAACATTAGTGTGAAGTCTTTTAACACAAGGAAATATATATAATTGTTCCCCCTATTAAATAGAAGCCTGCTACAGAGGAGCTAAGGAGGTAAGGAGAGCTCACGCATCACTGACAAAATTCTTGTGAACTGATTCAGGCTGTTGATGCTTGCCCAAAATGCAAAGCTGTACGCCAGAGTATGTGTGTATTTATGCAGATACACATCACAGATAAGATTTCGCAGGGCCAACAGATACTATGTGCTAAAATACAGCTGCATTCATTAATACTGTTGAACCTGATCCCCCATGCATGATGGTGGGATGACAGACATCTTATACACTTTTCATCCATAATCAGTCTGAATCCTGTTCTCTAGTGTTCGCAATCTCACAGTCTATAGGAATGTTGTATGTGTTTTCGCTTGCATGTGTCAGGTACAAGGTTATTATAGTTTTGAAATTTTTATTAGTTTTTATTTTTATTTAGTTTTGCAGTTTAGTTTTAGTTAGTTCAACAAGTGATTTTTTAGTTTTAGTTTAGTTTTTATTTTGAGGAATCGACTAGTTTCAGTACACCAAATATGGTTTATCAAGTCCTTTAATTTCATTCTTTAACCATCACCTGCAGGACAGGCAGTAATCGAGGGAGAAAACGAAAACAAAGCTGAATTTAGCAATTCAGTCTAGTTTAGTTACTTTTGCATTATTTATTGTAGTTTTTATTTAGTTTTCGTTTTTTTTGGTAATTGTCTTCTTTTTTTTTTAAATTTCAGTTAACTAAATTATTTTTTCATTTCTAGTTTTAGTTTTAGTCTTAGTTTCTGTTAACTATAATAACCCTGGTCAGGTAGAGTCTGTCTGTCAACAGGAGGATTTTAAAAGGAATCTAATCTGGATTTAGTGTCTCAGAATATAGTCTGTCTGTGAATGTTGTTTCATAACTGCTACAATATTCTGCTATTTCTCTCAAAAGCTGCTGTCAGGCATGCGCTGATCTCTGGACATTTTCCCCAAATTATACAGAAGGGTTGTATGTGAAACATTAATGTCCGTTGATTCTGACATTTTTCTCCAACCTTTCTTAGGAGCCTCTGTTGCAAAATGTCAGAGCGATCCCATGTGAGAATGCAGCAGGAAAATGTTCAGAGAAAAGAGCTGAAAAAAAGAAGGGAAAGAAATATCTCAGGTAGAAAAAGAGGTCTCATACATGTAAGAAGCACAGTGGAATTTAAATATCATGCTGCCTCTTTTTCTCATTGTATGAACTCGTTTGACCTGAACAATATCCTGCAGCATCCTTCATAGGTTTAAGGCAAAGTTTCCAGACACATTGTCCTGAGTTCATGTCTGAAAACAACATTATTCTTTTCTTTTTGTCAACAGAGAAGCATTAATAAGGAGGAATGAGATCATATGCATTTAAAGCCATTGGTGGAAGTACACTAGCACTAACTAGCACTAACTAAAGTATTGTGCTTCATTAGAATTCTGAAGTATTTGTACTTTACTAGTATTTTATGATATGCTACTTTATATTTGTAGTTCACTGCATTGAAACAGCTGCTATACATACAGTATATACAGTATAGAATAACAACCACCCAACAGTTTATAAGACTGTGAGATTACTTTGCCCACTCCGGATAAACACGGTAAGAGAGAATGGCGTTTCGAAAAGTGTCCTTTTTATTTATGATTGTCTGCCTCCTCGTCAGGCCACCACACACATATACACAGGCTGGTTTATTCACACACATTCACACACGTCCACCCGGCTGCTCCAGCTTCTCGAACCCAGCCTACTGCAGGAGAGCAGACCCAGGTCACCAGCGTGCTCTTATTGAGGGCCTGATTACCTGATTCTGCACAGCCGTCCGATCACCGGCTGAGCCACTCCTCCCTGTTGTCCAGCAGTTGGCGCACAAACCACACCCCGCCGTCACAAAGACATTTCTGGAAAAAAATATTAAATCCAATGATCTAACAGTGACTTTCCATTTTGATCTGTCGTAACCATAACAACAGAATAATCATTCTGTTGCCACTGTCCGCAGAAAGATAAAAGGTGTATTTATATATACAGCCGCACAGAATGAATGATGTGCTATCAAAAGCACCGGTGTCCTGCAGTTTTGACACTGAAAGCTTTTTGAAATGAGTCTTCGGCTCGATACGTTTGGTGTCGCCTCGGTGCTGGTCTTCTGTGACACCATGAATGACTTCACGTTCATCATGTTGTCAGACGTATGTGTGGTCCAGCATAAGTGCTAACACGTCTAACACTTTTATAGACAAGTAAACTTAAATCCAAGGAGACAGTTTGCTCTGTCATTTTACAGATGTGGTAACCATAACAACATACAGGACCTGGGCGTCGTTATTTGGACTTCTATGGGAACTGTGATGTCTTGCTCAACGCTTGGACTGCTGCCAGTAACAGTGTTATTAGACCGGTATATTATAAACGGATTAGAGGGATTAGGTGAGCGAGAGAGAAAGTGTGTGTGTGTCATAAAGTTTATGATCAATATTTCTGCAGCCACTCCCACATGGCCTCTTGTTGATTTTCTGCTGCTTCTTGGCTCCGCCATAGATCAACATGAAGGATCAGCCCACAGGCTGATGTCCAGGATCCTACCACTTTGATTTCACACAACAGGGTCACAATATTGTCATCAGGCAGTTTAACCTGGAGGATTATTTGAGGGTTTTAAAATGGTTTGGCTCGGTTCGTCCAAACTTTCAAGTCGTTTTAATATCTCTATCGATTCCATGAGATACACTGTAAATGTGCGCAGTAGAAGATAAAGCTGATGTTCCTCCTTTATCAAATGTCACATGCAGTTTTGACAGGAATCAACACAGCCCTGCACCAAGAGCCGTCTCATATCATCTTTTATTCTCAGACGGGCTGACCTGTCTGATAATGGTTAGGAGATAGAAAGTGTAGCTCTGAAATGAGCCGAGGTTAAATAAAAGGGTGCTGCTCGAAGGGAGGAAGGATAGGGAGGAGACAAGATAAGGTGAGGTGTGAGAACAAGAAGTGCAGAACTAGAGCGATACTCAATAGGCTGTGGGCCTAGAAAAATAAGTCTTCAGGATAAAGACAAAAGACAGAAGAGCTATGAAGGAAAAAGTAGAGCCAAATATAAAAGGACACATGGAGGTCGAGCAGTATGTTCTCTAGAATATCCAGGTGAGGGATGAGGGAGGAAAAAAGGTGGACAGGTAAAGATAATAAAATGCAGAGGGGTTAAGAAGTAAAGGTAACAAACAAGGACTTATAATACAATGACACAATCTTGGGTTCTGGCTGAAAAAGTTCCGTAAAATATAAAGAGCAACCGACATTTGCATTCTCACATACAGCCCTCAATGTCCAGACTTCAGTGTATGTCTGAAAACAGCTTATATGCGTACAGCACATATATAAAACCAAGGGGAGAGTTTGATACCAAAATGAAATGAATACACAGGGCCGAATAGGAAGACCACGCAGTGATGACAACTGTAACTAATATGTTTTAAAAGATAACTACTAACGCTCTGTCTGCAGCTTCTCCGCAAG